GCTTTCCATAATTGGGTTTGCAGTATGGTACATGAGGAAGCCAAGGAAAAATGATTCCGGGCATGGGGGCATTATGCCATCCTCTCTCAGCTCCTCTCCTAAGTCGGGTACTGCAATGTAAATATTGTTTCTTAGCTTCCTTCCTGCCCAACAATCATTAATTTGGTCCTCTTTTTCCCAAAACATTTATGTTTAGCTTCCTGCCTGATAATTTATTGGGATTTCCGTTCTTTTTCGTAGAATCATCCCTTATGAAGGTCCATTCCACAGTTCATCAAAACATCCATGCCAGTGGCAGTGGCAGTGGCAGTGGCGGTGGCGGTGGCAGTGGTGGAATATACACTCCAAGAGAGCTTGGTGGGTTGGGCAGTTCGAGGCCATTGTTTACATATGAAGAACTCTTCAAAGCAACAAATGCCTTTTCTGCGCAGAACCTTTTGGGAGAAGGCGGCTTTGGTTCTGTTTATAAAGGATATCTACCAGATGGAAGAGAGGTTGCAGTGAAGGAGCTGAAGATTGGTGGTGGGCAGGGCGAGCAGGAATTCAAAGCTGAAGTTGAGATTATTGGCCGTGTTCACCACCGCCACTTGGTTTCTCTTGTGGGCTATTGCATTTCAGAGCATCAAAGGTTGCTTGTCTATGATTATGTGCCTAATAATTCCCTCTACTACCATCTTCATCTTGAAGGTACTATGATTTTGGACTTCTTGACTGGCTAGCATAGTAAGGAAAACTTAACTTTAAGCTCCTTTTCCACATTAGGGGATGGTGAGCTCGTTCTAGAATGGGCAAAACGCTATAAAATAGCAGCTGGTGCAGCACGGGGAATTGCATATCTTCATGAAGACTGTAAGTTTCTGTGTCTTTTCCTGTAGAGCCAGCTGATTGATGTCGATGCTAAGACGACGATTTCGTTTATGTCAGGCCATCCTCGAATCATCCACCGTGATATCAAATCTTCGAACATTCTTCTAGACGAAAATTTTGAAGCTCGGGTATGCTCGAAGCTTCATAATCTATGCTGAAATGCTTAGCTTATAGGTGTATGCTTCATGCTTTTGTTGGCTATCACGCAGGTTTCAGACTTTGGGCTTGCTAAGTTAGCTCTGGATGAACAAACTCATATAACTACCCGTGTTGTGGGAACTTTTGGGTAGGTAGTTTATGATTGTTGGTACCACAGCCTCTCAGGATCCTTGTCTTTGAAATCTATATTTCTTGCAGATATGTTGCCCCTGAATATGCATCGAGCGGAAAGTTAACTGAGCGATCAGATGTCTATTCTTTCGGAGTTGTACTTCTCGAGCTGATTACGGGTCGGAAGGCTGTGGACACGTCCCAACCAATGGGGGATGAGAGCCTTGTTGAATGGGTAATCTATTCATGCTTCTCTTGTATGTTTTCACTGATATGGATATGATGATGCAACCAACCTATCAAATTTTCTTATAATCTTAGAGAGCCCAAGTTCACCGCTAACGATATGGTCCTCTTTGAGCTTTTCCTTCTAGGCTTCCCTTCAAGGTTCTAAAACCCATCTTCTAGGGGGAGGTTTCCACACCCTTATAAGGAATGCTTCGTTCCCCTCTCTAACTAATGTGGGATCTCACAATCCACTCACCTTGGAGGCCCAGCTTCCTCGCTGGCATACTGTCCAGAGTCTAGCTCTAATATCATTTGTAATGGCCCAAGTTTACCACTAGCCGATATTGTTCTCTTTGGACTTTCCCTTCTAGGTTTCCTCTCAAGGTTTTAAAATGCGTCTACTAGAGATAGGTTTCCACACCCTCATACGGAATGTTTCGTTTCCCTCTCCAACCGATATGGGATCTCACAATCCACCCTCCTTGGAAGCCCAACGTCCTCGCTGGCACATCGCTCGGTGTTGACTCTGATACCATTTGTAACAGCCCAAGCCCACCGTTAGCATATATTGTTCATTGGGCTTTCCTTTCTAGCTTTCTCTCAAAGTTTTGAAACGCGTCTACTAGAGAGAGGTTTCCACACCTTATAAGGAATGTTTCGTTCCCCTCTCCAACCAACTAGGATCACACGTATGGATTCATATGAAGCATGAATGTCCTCACTATAATTCTGAATGGTTTGAAAAAACATGTATCTTATTTGAGCATTAGCAACTCAAATCAAGCTTTCCGGACAATGTTCTCATCTTTCAGGCTCGGCCTTTACTAAACCACGCACTCAACAACAGCCAAGACTTCAAAAACTTGGTGGATCCTAGGCTTGAAAGGAACTATATAGAGAGTGAAATGTTGAGGATGATAGGAATAGCTGCTGCTTGCGTGCGCCATGCATCTGCCAAGAGACCACACATGGGACAGGTTGTGTTTTTGCTACTGATTCATAATAACCTGAAATTCATAATTGTTCATCTTTCACAGTACTGTTGTCTCATTCTCAGGTTGTTAGAGCTTTTGATAGTTTAGGCACTGCAGATTTAAGCAATGGAATGAGATTTGGGGAGAGTCAAGCTTTCGACTCAGGTCAACAATCTGCCGAGCTTAGATTTTTCCGAATGCTGGCGTTCGGTAACCAAGATTACAGTTCAGAATTTTATAGCCAAGGTAGCTCAAATGCCTGATTGAAGAGGAGATTTTGTAGATATGATATAGAGTGGGGAAATATGTTGCTTTTTTCCAGGAAGGCTTTTTTCCATGCCTACTGGAACTCAGGTTGATACCAAGAGCACCTTCTTGATGTTCATGTAAGTAGTACAGATGAATGAACAATCCCCCAATTCATGCTCAATAGAGATGCCATTATTCATACATAAATCATATTACTTAATATAGTTTCTTGGGTTTAGGGACTTCTCTAATCAAGTTTTGATATTTACATTCATAGCAGTATGCAATTTCTGCAATTTTGTAGCATTTTCCATCCTTTTTCGAGTACACGTCTTTTTGGCAAGCGGACATACGGCCTTGTGCATAGTTCGTTGGGTGTCTGTTTGACACCAAATTTAGTGAACTTTCATCTTTCATATAAACGGGCTTAACTCTCGAACCGCATGCTGAAATTCATATTCAAACTTCATTTATGAGGTTATGACCGGTAACGACTCAGATCCACTGCCAGTAAATATTGTCCTTTTTGGGCTTTCCCTTTCGGGCTTCCTCTCAAGGTTTTCCTCTCGTTCTTCGTTCCATTTAGATTGGATTTTTGTGGGGTTAGACCCCACAATTTAAACGGACATCTCTACCCTAACTTTCAACTATCTGTTTAGCCATCAGAGAGGAGAGAAAATTGGATCTTTGTACCTCAAGACCCATGGTTTAAATGAACATCTCTGTTGAAGATAGTCCAACTCAACTCGAGAGCCGCCACAAGTCCAAAGAATATAGGGTCTAGGCCCATTTTGATGTTTGGACCAACGAGCAGGCCGGCCCAGTAGTAAGATCAGAATTTGGATCATATAGTTATTATAGCTTTATATTTAGATATAAAATAAGAAAAATAAAATAGAGGAAAGTAAATATCAAATTCAAGTGGACGGAGGCTCCGAAAAGTCAATAAATCTTGCATTGAATATAAAATAATAAAGTAATTAAGTATTGAGTTCTTCCTTTTTGGATCCAACTTCCAAAGAACGCGGTTTGTTCATTCAAGTTTGAACAGTTTCCCTTTCAAATCTGTCATCAAACCAAAGGAAAGCCCCACATCTGTACCTCACCGATTCCCAAATCCCCTAACCTCGACCAACTCCTCCCTGCGGATCCTCTCGAGTCTCGAATCCATGGCTTCTTTGCAATCCGATCAGCTCAAGCAGCTGCACGACATTTTCAGGCGCTTCGACATGAACTCCGACGGTAGCCTCACCCAGCTCGAGCTTGGCGCCCTCCTCCGCTCCCTCGGCATCAAGCCCTCTGGCGATCAACTCCATTCTCTCCTCTCCAATATGGATTCCAACGGCAACGGCTCTATCGAATTCGAGGAATTGGTCAATGCGATTCTCCCCGATTTAAACGACAATATTCTCGTCAATCAAGAGCAGTTGATGGAGGTTTTCAAATCCTTTGATCGTGACGGCAATGGCTTCATCACTGCCTCCGAGCTCGCCGGTTCCATGGCCAAGATGGGTCATCCTCTGTCCTACCGCGAACTTTCCGAGATGATGCGGCAAGCCGACACCGACGGCGATGGCGTAATTAGCTTCAACGAATTCACCACCGTCATGGCCAGGTCCGCCGCAGATTTTCTCGGCCTTACATTTGCGTAGATCGTGTTCATTCACACTTTGATTTCCCCTTCTTTAGATGTACATAGCATGGTATAACCACCATCTGATCTTAGTCGCTGTTCGTTTCCAGTAATTAATTTCTTCGTAAGCTTTTGGTGCAACCCTGATGTGAGAAAAACAAGAAAGAAAAAACAAAAAAACAATCCCAACTGTGCTTGTAATGTCAATGTTTCAATTCTATATTTGATCTTTCAACTTGCTTCCTGTACTGTACTTGCCCCAATATTCTATATATTACATTATATTCGTGTTATTCTTATAGTTCTATTACTCTTGTGAGTGTTTGATTTGGTATTTTTATTCAATTTTTATCCAGAATCACAAAATTGGTACCTGTAGTTTGGAGAAAGTGATGAACTATTCTTTCGTTCTTATGGTTTGATAAGATCTCTCATAAACAGTCCCAGAAGAAGTCACTGATGAATTGAATACTAACATAACAAAACTTTGAGATGTATTAAAAAGCATTATTGGGTTGCTGTTGCTAAATTAGCTGGTTGATTACAAAACTTGATTTTAAAATGAATTGTCTAATCTTGCTAGGTGTTCCTCACATGATTTTAGATGCCTTCAACAACTGTTCTTTTGTCATTTGGTACTTTTTTCTGTCTTACTCTCATATCTTGTCTATCATACATGCTGGACTTTGGGCATTTGAATATTCAACTTTGATCGAAGGTTGAAACTTCAAGGTTGGCCTAAGACATGATATGATTAATAGATATGTCACTCAGAAACCTATTTAATACTCTAAGGACTCTCATTAGTTGTGAAGCTCAGAGAGTTAAATCAATTATCGTATAAACGTCGAGTTGTATATTTGACATAGGATCTGCTATTATGTTCTTTGTTTTTGTTGCTTGAACTAATGTTTATCTAATCCTACAATGAATTCCCTCACTTTTTTAATGTACACAAGAACTTGGAGTGATGCTTCTTCTGTATTTTCTTGGGACAGGCTATGCTGGTTCATGCCAGATTTGTCCAAGAGCAAGAAAGCAGCATCATATTCAATGGTTTCATCTGTTTGAAGTGGCACCTTTCGGCTGCTAACCGTGCGGTGGAACCCATGCTCGTTGATCGGGAGCTATTGACCTCAAAAGATCACGGTACTCTTGGTTTTCCAGCTGCCCTTCATTCCTAATCCACAAAATCATTTGATGATACATAGGAAGGAACCTCATCTGTATAGCCGAGTAGGAGAAGTAAGGAATGAGTGTTGAGATCACCACAAATAGAAGCACAAGCCAGTAGGAAGGGCCAGGGGCAAGGACTTCAATGAAGATCTTGTAACCATTGGTTGAAAACGTGGGGGTCATGGACCCATAGATCAGGAGAAAAATGTACCAGATCGAAACCGAACCCCAGATGAAAAGATGTTGTATCAAGGTGAAGTAACTAACAGCAAGCGCCATTTGCAAGTTCACGACCCAAACAACACAAGAGTACATCGTTGCACCCAGAATATCCCGCCCTGCAGTTCTCCCGTCGGAGTTGAACGCCTGATACTCGAGCGCTCGAGTGCATAGGGAGAAAATGATCACAGCACTGCACAGTCCATTAAACATCCAACTGAGAATTCGGGCCCAGCTGAATAGAACATTCTGCACCCCTTGTTGGTATAAGAGAGGAAACTGCCACATCAAACAAAGAAATGAAGCCTAAAATTTGGCCATTTTTTCTCAGATTTATCAGCAGCAACAAGAACATACCTGGAGGCAGAGTCTTGCAGAAACATCCTGATCAAAAACGCCCAAAGCTACCACTGGAAGCGACGAGAAGAACACATTGTAAAGCGATAGAAACCAATCATTATACGCAGGCTGCCCAGAGAATGATGTGAATGCTTCGTATAAGAATATTGTAAAACCAAAAGTAATGTTCTTGTAGAAAAAGTAGCAAATCTGCAAATCCATAGGCAAAACTCATCAATCTCAAAGAGAGAAACTTATGAAACATGATGTTTTCTGAATCCAGATGTATAAACTGCATTACCATTGATGATATCCTTCTATAGCACCAATGTCCATGAACAAGAAGCAGGTGCTCTAGATATTTGAACTGTGCTATCGCAACGTCGCTCGACATAACGGCCTGGGTAGACATATAAAAGAACTCGTTAATATTTGAAGAATTTGAATCATCAAAACATATGGGTCGTCTGCGTTCTTCAGCACCTGCATTCCTTCAACACCGCTAATTCCAACTCCAATGTCTGCTTCTTGAAGCATTCCGACGTCGTTGGCACCGTCGCCGATAGCTAAAGTTGTTTTCTGTGTTCCACATTTAACTAACCTCGTTACCTGCCACCATGAATGAGAATCGAGTCGATATCTTTTTAGATGTGATTTTTAAGCCGAAATAAAGAGTAAGAGTACGAAAACTAACCAGTGCCTTCTGTTTTGGAGATGAACGGCAGCAAATAACAGAAGCACAATGTATTGCTACCTCGAGAAACAATGCCTTCATGGTGTCCTCTAAAGCATAAGAAAGTGATTTTCCATCAATGATTAATGCAAATGCTTCAGATATCCCACTTGGTGATGCGATCTGAGCTCTCCCTCGAGTAATTTGATCGAGGACGCTTTGCCTCGATGCCTAAAAGATTATCAAAAAGATTCCACAGGGAAGGAAGAGCGTCAATTGATACTTAAAGATAGTAGATATTGTCCGTTTTGGCCCATGCGTGTTGCCATCAGCCTCACGGTTTTAAAACGCGTCTACTAGGAAGAGGCTTCCACACCCTTGTAAATTATGCTTCACTCCCTTCTCCAACCAACGTGGGATCTCATAATCCACCCCCTTTGGGGGCCAGCGTCCTCGCTAGCACACCGTCCGGTGTCTAGCTCTAATACCATTTGTAACAGCCCAAGCCTACCATTAGTAGATCTTGTCCGTTTTAGCCCGTTACATATCGCCGTCAGCCTCACGGTTTTAAAACGCATCTACTAGGGAGAGGTTTCCATACCCTTATAAGAAACCTTATAAGAAATGTTCCGTTCCTCTCTCCAACCAATGTGGGATCTCACAATCCACCCCCCTCGGGAGACACCACCTGCAGTCTGGCTCTAATACTATTTGTAACAACCCAAGCCCGCCGCTAGTAGATATTGTCCACTTTAACCCGTTACGTATCATTGTCAGCCTCACGGTTTTAGAACCCGTCTACTAGGGAGAAGTTTCCACACCCTTATAAGAAATGTTTCGTTCCCCTCTCTAACCAATGCGGGATCTCACACTTTCCCTTCTATAGTACATTTAACAAGGAATGAGTATATATTCACCTTGATGATCGATGCCTTATCCGCCGTCTTCTCTAACGCCTGAATTTCCGACGTCTCGAGAGTAATTACAATCTGCTTCGTATCTTGTCTCAGTAATCTACAGGAAAAACTGCAATTTTAAGCTCAAGAGTTAGTATAAATCCAGATATGATACAACTAGGACTCAAATGAACATTTCAGCTCAGGAAAACAAGTATCCATCCATACCCAATATTGATAGCAGTCTCCATTTTGTCCCCAGTCAATACCCAAATCTTTATTCCAGCTTGAGCAAGCCTATCAATGCACTCAGGAACCTAAAACCAAAAACATGAAGAACCATCAGTTCCAAGTCCTTCAATAGCAGTAGTTCCCCATTATGAACTCATAACACTTCTCAACTCACCCCATTTTGAAGCTTGTCCTCAACAGCAGTGGCACCAAGAAGAATCAAATTCCTTTCGATTTTATCGGTCACTTGATTAATCAACATTTCTCGGTCTGCACTAACCGAGTTTTTCGCCATAGTGAACTTGCTATCAAACTCTCTGTATTCTTCGTCGTCGAGCTCGCGATAGGCGAGTATCAAAGTCCTCAATCCTGCATCAGCATACTCACTGACATGTTCCTTGGTCTCCTCCTCAAACACCCTCCCATTCTTTCCAAGCCTTTCAAACATAACACTGCAAGAGTAATGGAGTTATGGGGATTCTGACATTTAACCAAACCAGGAGCATGACTCTTTATTTAAACCACAGACCTGTCTGCACCTTTACAGAATAACAATGTCTTGGCCTCTTCATTTCTTACTATGACAGACATCCGCTTTCTTGAGCTGTTGAACTCCAAAACATGCAGCAGTTTATATGCCCTGCAAAAACAAAACACTGTCATCTACATGAAGCTCATGGATATGCTATCAAATCAAAAGAAAGGGTATTAACAGCAAACAGTCACCTATCAACTTTCTTGCCCAATGAAGGATCAAACTCATGCAGTGATATACTTGTCTGTGTTCTTTTGTAGAACTCGAATCCGAGTTCTCTAGCAGCGATCACAAATGCTGCTTCGTCTGGAGATTCGGCCTCATAAGAAACCTCTCCATTGTCCTCATTGATTTCGGGAATCGCCGTATGACAAGTCGCAAGAACACGAAGAAAAGTTTTGATGACATTGGCATGAGGCTCATTAACCCAATTCCCATTCATAATCCTATCATCCTTAAAGTTAAAACCTTTGATATGTGAAGGTTGATTCTTGACATCCTCATGGTGCTTCCCCTCATTTGCCTGACCATAAGCCCTCCCTGCCACAGAACACTTGATGAACTCCATTGAATTACATGTCAAAGTTCCCGTCTTGTCAGTGAGTATCGTATCGACTTGACCGAGTTCTTCATTCAAATTCGAGGTGCGAGCACGAGCTGGTTTATTCGCTTCTTCATAATACATATTAATATCTTGATTGATGAACATGCTCTGAAGAACTTTCACAATTTCTATTGATACATACAGTGATATTGGAATGAAGTAGTTATATAACATCAGTGCTGTAAGGAAATGGAAAATTGCAGCCATTTGAGCCCTTTTTGGATCATAGAAAACTCTAGCATCATCAGGCCTCAGATACCATCGTTTCATTCTCCCATTCTCCAAATCATCCTCAGTCACAACGCCAAAAACTACAGATCCTACAAGAGCAAGCAAAAACAGAAGACAGAACAAAAAATATATAATCTTATCCATTTTCCTCTCAACTTTGCTTCTCTTTGAAGGTGGATCAGTAGAATTTTGAATAACCTTCGTGTCACGGCCCGTAAAGACAACAACCCCGTATATATAATCCGTATTCCGAAGCTTAGAGCCTCGAAGGAGTAGCTGTTGAGGAGACAGAGGATATTGTTGTTCTTCCAGCTCTAAACTACCAACAAAACTGTATAAATTAGCATTTGGATCCTCACATTTTAGGATAGCCTTAAAGCTATTGAACATAAAATCTTCGTTCATATGCGACGTTTCCTCCAACGCTTGTTTTAGTTTCAAATTCGTCTCGCCGTCGAGATTCATCGTCTCAACGTAGCAGATTGCGTCCTCATAACTTGATGAAAGCAAGACAATATCAGCTGGAAAGAATCCATCCTTCTCTACTTTCACAATATCACCAACCATCAGATTCTTCCACTCTGTATAACCAAAAACTCCATCTCCATGGTGGACTTTTACCTTTCTATTGTTTACCTCAAGATCCTGAAAAGGTCCACAGTTAATAATATTAAGCAACATCATTGATCATTCACTTGAGTTGCAGAAACTTGAAGATGATAAATACCTGTTTTTTGCGCCTCCGATCCTCGATCCCTTCTTTGATCATCGTCGCCGAGATGACGAGAATAAGAGGGACGATGGCACTGACAGCGGTGTAAGGAGCAAGGGGAGTAAAAGCAAGGATCCCAGTGACTAAAAAGTAGAAATTGGCCACTCTCCTGAATTGCTCAAACAATGACTTAGGCAGGAAAGTAGCTAAAGTATACTTGGTGGTACTAACATAATTGTCTATGTAGCTACGAATTTCTGCCTCAAAACACTTTGGTTCATTACAGAAAACAACACGAGAGAACCCAGGTCCCCCAAGTTGCGAATGATCGTCCTTTAAAGAAGCTTTCCCGCAAGCAAACGAGTAGATCTTGCTAAAATGCAGCTTTCTCCTTCTGCCGCTGCTCATTTTTTAGTATCCCACAAGCAGAAATTCAATGCCAAAACTAAAGAACATTTTCAATTCGTAAGCTCATAAGGTTGAGTACCCAAATCGAATCCATAACAACAATGAAATGATATGAATCTTCGGAGGTTCTTTAGCAAATTTGAACCAAACCCCATTTGAAAGGATCAGAAAAAGAGGGAAAAAAACATGGACAAACATGTAAAAGTGGGTTATATCGTAATCTCCGACCTCGTCGAGGAAAACCCAGAAACAGAAACCTTAAACTTTGTCATCTAATGGCAGAAACCATCAACTAAATTGTCTTCTCTGCAAGCCCGATGGTTCCTTGAAAACACAAAAGACAGAGAATGTCAATGCCATTTGGCAGAAGAGAATGTTTGATATTAAAGAACTCAGAAGCTCACCCACCAATGGCGGCTGTTTCTCTGCTCTGAAAGAGTCTTCTCTTCTGCATCACCTTCCCTTTCTCCATTGATTAACACAGAACAAACAGACAAAAGAAGAACCCATTTAGCAATTTCTTTCAATTCTTTCTTCAACATTCAAATTGTTCGTAATAGCTTCATTAAGAGGTTAATCATGGCACCTTTCCCTCCTCTTGAAGCAAATAAAAAGGGGGATTTTTACAGCAAACACCCGATTCGAACACCACAAAAGGGAGCTTCGAGGAATTAAAAAGGCGAATTCTGAAAATTGAAACTAAAATTGTGAGGCGTAATGAAGAATTTGAGTGATGGGTTTTGTTTTTGGGGTTAATTAAACTATGAATTAGGGGAGAAGACACAGACAGGGAAGATGCCAAACGTGTCGGATGTGGTCAAAGTCAAACCAATCTCACCCAGCTTACCACTCTTATCAACTATTTTTTAACAAATTTTTTATAAATCATAAAAATAATTGTGTTCTAGCTTCTTATTTTATGTTTTAATTTTGTATAATTATTGTTTTACAATAATATAATGTTTATAAAAAAATTTATATTTTAACAAATAAAATGAGTTTGAAACAGTATACTAATTTTTAAAAAAAAAACATTTTTTTAAGTTAAATTAAAATAGAAAAAATAAATAAATAAAGCAGTTTCTTTTTAACTATTTTCTGATTTAGGTAAGAATTAAACAAAAACAAATTAAAAAAAGACCTATAAAGGTGTAAAGTAGTTATCAAATATTAATTTATTTCCAAATTTAGCTACCACTTTATAAATGTTTTTGAAAAGTAAAAAAGTTTAATTTTTTTTAAATAAACTAAAAATAAATTACTGTTTATAAATGTGTAATTATCATTTTTATCATATTTAATAATTCATATTATATTATAATAATTGCAAGCAGTATCTAATTATTCGTTGACAAAATATGGATTATATGCGTAAAAGTAACATTTTATAAAGAGAACTTTTTAAAGCTAAACTTTTTTTTCTAAATTTATATTATTCATCAATTTTCAATATTCTCAGGCGGAATAATTAATATTAATTATTATTAATTATTGAAAGTGTTGATTTCATAAACCATCATATCTGGGTTTTGCAATTAAAAATTAAAATATATTACTTTTTAATTTAGAAAAGAATGGTGTAAAATTAATAAAAATTTATATAATTATTATAATAATTTAATTACGTTTTTTATTTTTTATTTTTTATTTTTACTTCTTTTATATTTTAAAATTAATATTTATAAACTATTTTAAAAGATCTACAAAAATAAATAGAAGTTGACACAAGATTGTCGCAGACAAAAAGAAAAAGAAGACAAATGAAGGAACAGAGACAGAATGATGACGGCGTCAACTCAGGAGATAGTGGAAATAAAAAACTAATATAATATATATAAGAGTCAATTTCTTTTATTATTATTTAAAGAATTAAAAAAAAAAAAAGTCAGGTAAGAAAATAACAAAACTAAAGGCAGCTTATATATATCCATATACAGAGAAAATAGAATGTGAGGGACATTTCTATTTGTATTTTATTACGTCAAATCTAGCTTTAAATAAATAAAATAAATTAATTAAAAAAATAAGTGATTGGTTAGTAAGTCAACATGGTACCGTGTCTGAAATTATGAATTTTCGCAATAAATAAGTATTATTCTTTTTTATTAATTTATTACATGTAATTGTTGTTTAATTATTTAATTAGTTGAAGTCAAATATTTTTATTAAATTGATTTATATTTTTCTAGTACTAATTTTTTAGTTAGCAATTATTTATTGATATTCTTTTATTTATATCATTATATTAAAAAGTTCATTTAATGTAATTTTATTTTAAGATTCATTATTAGTTAATGATAAATAAATGGTTAGAATAATAAAATTTATGAACTAAATTAACAATAAAATAAAAAAATAGTGATTGTTATTATGTTAATTAAAAATTATATCAACATATTAGTTAGTTAAAAAAAAATGACGAAGGGTATTCTAGTAATTGTATCGATTATTGTTCCAATTTGTAATAGTTGGAAGTAAGCAATATCATTGGATTATTGATTATGTCCCATCTCATATGGATTTCTAGCCATTTAACTACAACCCTAAAAGTAGAATATATATATATATACATATATATATATATATATATATAATAAATAATAAATAATAAATGATATGCTTGGATTGGTAATTAAATTTTAATTAAACCAACAATCTGCCTGCACTTGGGTTACTTTTATAGGCAAGTGATTATGTTTACTAAAACTTCACGTATCTGATAAAATTTAATAATAATAATAATAAATGACAGATCAATTATTGGATTTTAAATATTTCAGGTAATAAAAAATTAGATCCATTTAGAATATCGATATCTCTTTATTTGTTTGTCTTGTTCGTGTTGACGTTTCTCAGTCTAGTTAGAAGAAGTTTTTTTTTAATTAAATATAAATAATATAAATACTAAGGACTAGAGTCGTTTTCGTACACAAAACTTAAAAGTATTAATATAAAATATTTATAATATCGAACGCGTTTGAACCATGCATTTAAAGTGTTGCATCAGACTAATAAGAGACGAGGAAGATTCAAACTATATTGAGAATGATTTAACCCATTATAGGTGTCCCATAAGGAGAAGAAACCAAAAAAAAAAAAAAAAAAAAA